TAGTTTTTAATGTATGAAATCTAAATTGTCAATAATATAGTTAGATATATTTCTTAGGTCAAAGATGTACCTAAATTCATTTTTAAAATTTAAGGTTACAAGCAGTGGGGTCAGTTTTCTGAACTGTGAACAGCCTTTTCTCACAATAAGATGAATCCCTCCTATAACAAACCTGTGTGAATTCATGCCATCCTAATACCCCACTGTTTCTGTTTTTGTTTTTTGAGAATGCGTGTGTGCAAGTGTGTGAGCCTGGGAGAGGGAGGGAGAGAGAGATTCTTAAGCAGACTTCATGCCCAGTGCAGAGTCCTATGTGGGGCTTGATCTCACAGCTGTGAGATCATGACCTGAGCTGAAGTCAGATGCTTAACAGACTGAGCCATCCATGTGCCCCTATCCCCGCTGTATTTTAATTACCAGTTTATCAGCATCCCATTAGATTGGGAGCCCTTTCAAAGTCAGACTGTCACATTCATTTTGCCTTGAAGTGGGTAAGAAATTACTTGCTAAATGAATAATGAAAAATATTTCTATTCAGATGGTATGCATTTATCCATAATTACTAAGTGTTAAATCTCCAAATATTTTATCATCTGATTTAAAATCCTCAAATTCAAAGAAACTTATACCCAAGCTTTGGTTTAGCTTGTGCTAAATCATTTTTAAAATTTGTAGCTTTGAGGCCTTTTATTATAAAAAGCTAGCACGCATATACATAAACTAACAAGAACTTAAAATTCACACATTTACTTCATTTTTTAGCTTGACCTTCTAGTAAATCTTTAGCTTCATTGATTTTGGCTGCTATATAAGGAGATCCTCCCTTGTCTGGGTGATTTAAAAGCATAATTCGTCTATGGGCATCTCTTATTTTTCCTTTATTGGCAGTAGGGCTTACGCCTAGTATTAATGCTGCTTTTCGTTTTGTCATTTTAGGTTCAAACCCACCTCTATAATAGCCACCACTGAAAGCAGATTTTGGTAGACTTTGAAAAACTTGTTTTACTTGAGGCTCCATATGTTTCATGGCTTGCAAAACATAACGGCCTGCAAATCCTGCAGCAGCAATGGTCAGTCCAACTGCTACCACTGTACTGGCCATGGCTCTGGCTCGGCTCCCCGGCCTCCACTGAGAGCGCGGTTCATTCCAGACCAAATGCCGCAGCCACAAAATTTCACGCCCCTACCAGAGAGCGACGCGGACACCTCCATTGCACTCTTAATAATAAATACTAACATTAAGTTCTGTGGACAACCCATAAAATTATTTTTATAAACATCATAATCACAATATATTTATCAATCTAAATAGGCAGCTATTTTATAATCTGTTAAAAATAAATATCTTGACTAAAAGTCATTGATTATAATAAAGTATTTGCGTGTTCATCTTTGTGGATTTTTCTGTTAGGCCATTACATTCAAAAGATTTAATTACAAAGAATTAATTTTACCTAAATTTTAATTTCAGATAAAATTTAGCAAAGGATGAATGTTTTAAAAGAAAAAGTGTAAACATTTGAAAGGGAAGCTGTATATTTCCAAAGTTTTTAATATAGATAAAAATTCTAATATTTGTTTATAATCTAATTTAGAATGCTTATATGAAGCCTCTATTATTGTGTGTATGCAATTTTTATATGATTGACCACAGTGCTTAAGTCCTAGAACAAATCTTGTATCACAAAACACTATATTATTTATGCCATAATGCACTGTTGATGTTACAATTCTATAGCATTTAAAGATTTGGAAGTGACTTCTCACTATCAGTTCACTTTTGGCATTAGTCATTTTCAAATTTAGTTCTGAAGAATAAATCTCATCACATTGATGCTATAACAGTTCCAATTTACATTACTTCAAAAACTATTTTATTAGTACAGAATTCTACTAATAAAACAAATGGGTTCATTTTTCAAAGTTATAGCCTCTTACAAATGTACTTCAGACAATGATGAAACTTAAGAAAAAGATGTTTATTTAAATTTTTCTCTTAATTAAAAAATGTTTTAATTATGTTAAAAACATGTGTAATAACTTTATTTTCAATGAATAGAAGTGGCAAAGTGCTCAGAGACGTCACTGGACTTAAAATTAGGCTTGGGGGTACCTGGGTGACTCATTCGGTTGAGTGTCTGACTCTTGGTCATGATCTCACAGTTCGTGAGTTCAAGCCCCACATTGGGCTCTGCGCTCACAGCTCGGAGTCTGCTTGGGATTCATTCTCTCTCTCTCTCTCTCTCTCTCTCTCTCTCTCTCTCTCTCTCTGTGTCCCTTCCCCATTTGTGCTCTCTCTCTCTCTCTCTCTCTCTCTCTCAAAAATAAGCAACAACAAAAAAATAGGCTTGGGCCATGGAGCGAGAAGTAGAAAAATGTCAACTTCTCATGTACCAAAAGATAGTAGAAGTGTTCAAGATTTCTAGTTTCTACTCATAAAAACGCAGGCAGGTAGATTCTATTTTAGCGTTATTAACATCCTAGTCTGTCATCCTCTTCACTTTATTACCATCTCTTTTCAAACACTGCTTAGCTCTAATTTTCATTCTAATACTGTTTTTACAGAAAATTTACATGACTTCCTGGTTTCCTGCCATTTATGATTAGGGAAATAACTTGTTCTTGAAATTCTTACTTGTGGATAGAACCATGCTAAAATAGGGGTTTTGAGTTAAAAAGCTAAGATAGAAGGTGCATTGGAATAATTAAGATCAACATGCCAGGGGTGCCTGGGTGGGTTAGTGGGTTAAGTGTCCTACTTCAGCTCAGGTCATGATCTCGTGGTTCATGGGTTCGTGCCCCACATTGGGCTCTGTGCTGACAGCTCAAAGCCTGGAGCCTGCTTTGGATTCTGTGTCTCCCTCTCTCCCCTCTCTACCCCCACCCATGCTCTGTCTCTTTCTCTCAAAAATAAATATTAAAAAAATTTATAAAAAAAGATCAACATGCCAGACACCTAGAGAAAACAATACAAAAGTCAAATGAGAAATAGCTCTGGATTTAAAAGCATGATGCTCAGAAGCTTAAAAAAGAGCTACCTTCCCCCAGGTTAAACCTCTGCCTCTAATTCCAGAGAAATCTTATCATTTCCTTCCCATTCTGCCCCAATCCATAAATATACTTTGTGTTTGTTTATAGTTTTTAACTTGCTGTGGATGTTATTTGTTGCTTCAAAGTGTTAAAAGTATTCAGTGTTCTAAGGAAATCATCTCCCAAATCCTTTCAGGTTTAGCGTCAATCCCTTACAGTGGGAAGTGAGAGAGCTCTCAGTAATACTTCTTTCTTCCTTTTTCCCTCTGCTCTTTATATAAGTGGCTGATAAAGGCTGATAGCTATGCAGATTCAACCAAATCAGGCTTCTTTTGCTTCTAATGTACCTGATACAAAGAGTTGCTGCCTCTCCAAACTGTCATTAACCTCCAATAAGGGAGCTGGCCAGAGAGAACTCTATTTCCCTTTGGAGGGAATGACAGGGTGCACAGATCACTGAGAAGGCTCTGAAGTACAACAGGCTTCTGGGCAAGCTGTGAGCTAAAGCTACCTAGTGAGAACAAAGCTCCATCCCCTTAGCACTGACCCTGTTCAGTTCACCATGACTCTCACAATAAACCCAGTAACCAGGTAAACATTCTACAAGTCATTCCAGATCTGTTGCCTCTTTGTAGATAACCCTGTCAACACACACAGATCAAGGATTCTCTGGAGATTAAAAGAGATTCCAGAATTATAGCCAACAACATATATACCTTCCATATGACTCAGGAACACTACCTGAAGAAGGAGGAAAGCAGGAACTCACTAAAATGCTCAATGAAAAAGCCTCAGTATTAAAAAAAAATCTGTTAGCCTGTTTCCCCTTCTCCCTTCACAGCACCTTCTTGGCCATAAGAATTCACTTCACCAACTATTTGTCTCTTCAAATCTGTCCAGACAACTGGAGGGGGGCAGGGATGTCATGCTACAATGAGGCTTGGGAGCGGGGGCTGCTGATAAGCACAGAGAAGAAGGGAAAGGGTGGCCAAAGAGAAAGAATGAGAAATGTAGGAATTAAAAGGAAAGGAATAAAGGGAGAAGGAAGGAAAGAGATTAAGAAAGAAAGTGTACAGAAAGCAAGCACTTGTATCAGCTGCCAGGGCCCCTAAGCTGTTGCTGTCCAAGGGCAAGTGGGTACGGACAGTATTTCCCCCAACAGACCCCTCTAGCTCCACTCACCTACCCTACAAACTTCCCTTCCTCCCAGGCTAATCCCCCTTTTAGTGTAAGACCACTTCTATGGCAGCCTATAGGCACACAATTTAAGGTGGCCTATAGTGTTGAGCCTACCTGCCCCACGCCAGTGATCTCTCCATTACTTTCCTTTTTCCTTTAGTGCTGAACTTTGTCCAGTGGAATACTACTACTTTTTCTCCCTCCCCACACAGAAAACCAATTTCCTATCATCTCCCCAAATACTGTCTGACATGTCTTTCCCCAAAACACACACCTACCATATATCCTCCTCCTTCCTATACCTCTTCAATTATGGGCAACATAAACACAAACTTAAATTCATGCTCAGAGGGCAGTTTTTCTGAAACAAGTGGCTTTTTCCCCTCATTTTCTCTTTTTTCCTTAAGTCTCTCCATCATGAAGACTTCCCTCTCTCACCGAATACCTTCTGCCCCTGGAGGCACATGGGTGACCCAGTCGGTTAAGCATCTGACTTCAGCTGAGATCATGATCTCACTGTTCATGCGTTCAAGCCCTACATTGGGCTTGCTGTTGTCAGCACAGAGCCTACTTCAGATCCTCAGTCCCTCTCTCTGTCCCTCCACCATGCATGCTTTCTCTCTAAAAAATAAACAAACATTAAAAAAATACCTTCTGCTCTTGGTTTGCCTAGAAATATAGGTCCTTATAGTTTCTCCCATATTTATAGCTACTTCTAACAAGAGAAAACAGCTGGATAGCATTTTTAAAATTGTTTTTAATGTTTATTTATTTTTGAGAGACAGAGCACAAGCAGGGGAGGGGTAGAGAGAGAGAGAGAGGGAGACACAGAATCCAAAGCAGGATTCAGGCTCTAAGATGTCAGCACAGAACCCAACTTGGGACTTGAACTCATGAGCCATAAGATCATGACCTGAGCCAAAGTCGGACGCTTAACTGACTGAGCAACCCAGGTGCCCCTGGATGGAATTTTTTAAAGAGACAATTTCAAAATGCAGTCTTTGATAATTTAAAGTAGAATTGCCTTAATGAAATCCACTAAGTTTATAATCAATAATATTAAATGTATTAATCTATTATTATTAATTTTAATTCCAGTACAGTTAACATACTGTGACAACATAATGATGCAACAATTCCATATATTATCCAGTATTCATCACAACAAGTACACCCCTTAAATTTCCATCACCTAATTCACACATCCCCCGACCCACCTCCTCTCTGGTAATCATCAGTTTATTCTCTAGTTAAGAGTCTGTTTCTTGGTTTGTATCCCTGTCTTTCTCCTTTTTTTTTCTTTCCTCATTTGTTTTGTTTCTTTTTTTTAAAAGTAGAATTGTCTTAATGAAATCCACTAAGTTTATCATTAGTAACATTAAAAGTATTAATCTGATTATTGTTTCCAAACTTTACTTCCATTAAATTCTTCTACTAGCATAAAATAAAGTTCACTTTTAAGGGTACCTCAAGACTATACAAAAGAGACAACTAATGGGTGGTTTATAAAAGGAAAAGTAAATCTGGAAAGGCAGTTCAGTATTATAGAAAAAATATATATGTAAATATGCTTGATTACCTGGCTGCAATATTCTTTCACTGGTATGTAGTAAACACACTTGATACCTAAAAAAAGTGAGGTACAGAGTTTAATACTTCACTTGAGAAATGTGTGAAGTTAAAGTTTTCAAAATCATTCACTATCTGGCTATTTATTGAAACGTAAATGTGTTAGTCGATTAATCTGGAGAAAGTTGTAATTCCCTTACCCTGGAGTTGTGAATAAACATAATTCTTTACACTACATCAACATATCAGTTATATTTTGTCTCTCATCTATCATCATTGACATAAGCACAGAGAGTAAAATATAAAAATAATTACTGATGCCTTTTTCATCACATTAACTGAGTTCTATTTTTTACCACAGCTATAATTATAGACACAATTAGTAACAAAACAGCTAATTTTCTAAGAAATTCAGTCCATAT